AGAGATACCGATCGACGGCCACAATTTGTAGTCTTTACTTTTGATGTATTTTGTATTTTATTTATTTATGTCATTTAAGTTTTTCAAGTTTTCCCCTAGGGGTAGCGAGTCTCTATTGTAGCCCTGAGGGTATTTGTGTCCTTTCCCTTTTTTTTAGTTTGAGGTCTATATATTAAGGTTTCCTTGCATTGTATTGGATGATGATCTTTGAATGAAATTTCTAGTTTACTTGCTTGATATCTTTGTGAGTTCTTGAGAGGAGCAACCCTAGGTGAGGGTGAGTGCAATACCCGTCAACCTTCGGAGGATTCCAAGGTTCGCGGCTCATCGTTCTCTTCTTCCTTCCCAACATCTGGCCACCCTTCCTACCCCCATACACCAGCCGGCCTACCCTCCTCCATCGCCCCCTTTCTCCCTGTACCGAGCCCCAACCTCTCCACCGTCGCCTCCCTGGACCACCCAAGCCCGCCGGCCTCCACCCCCTCCACCGCCCCCTTCTCCTAAGCCCTAGCCGCCGGTTCCCCTTGCCTCCAAATTTGAGTTCAAATTCAAATTTCCATAACCCACTTTCCTAAAATACGCCATGGGTAATTAGGAAAGTTTCCTAATTGAATTCAATCAAGTATTTAAATTCAAATACTTTCCAATTCCCAAAACCTAATTTAGATAACCTCCTAATTTAAATCAAATCTGAAATTCAATTCAGATTTGATTGCAATCTTTAGTTAAAGCTTGGGGCCCACCTAATTAACACAAATCCTTCTCCCTCTCTTTATTTGGCCGGCCCCCTTATGGTCTCTCTCTCTCTCTCTCTCCCAAATTAACTCCAATTCCCCCACTAAATCAGCCCCAATCTTCTCCTTATTGCCGCCCCTACCCCCCTTTTTGATTAATTTGAATTTTCAAATTAAATCCCTCATAACCCACTAAAATCTGAAGGAATTTCAGAATTTATGTTATTACCTCTTGGCCTCCCAACCCTAGCCGCCCCTCTCCCTCAATTTGCCCAAGCCTCCCATATCTTATGCACCTCCTTTGCTTGCCTAGAAGCGACGGCTCCTCTACGACATCACCACCACGTTACTCCAATGCCCTTGCATGGCAGATCTCGACCTTGATCACGGATTTGTATTTGATGAACAAGGAAGAGTTGATATCGTAGAGTCATCCTACTTTGACGTATACTTTGGCAACGACGAGACCATCGACGAGTACATCGAGCGCATCCAGTACCACCTAGAACAAGCAATCGAGGAGCACATTCTTCAGGGTCGTTGGATCATCGTTGGTCATCCACCACCTCCTCCAACTCCGATTACCTCTTCGGCGACTACTACCCTAGGACTCACTTGCCTTCTAGTGGCTTCACTAAGTGTGCTTGCAATTTTCCTCCGCTAACCTCCACTTTCAAGAGATTGAGTGAGGGATCTCAAGGTGAATGAGCAAATAAAAGGGTTTATTGGTAGCCAAGCAAAGTTCACCACTTCTATTAATATCTTAATTGCAATTCTTGTCTATCACATTTAGTTTCACATCATACTAAAGTGTAGGAACTATTTTAGTATACGCTTTGGTAGGCCATTCACATGATATGAATGAGAAGAGAAAAATTCTGAATAATCTAATTCCAAAAATAGATTGATAAGCCCATGACAATGATTTAGGCGTCTAATTGAGAAATCATCAATTAGGTATAAATCATATAGGAAAATACTTATATCTCAGAACTTTGGTAACCAAAGTTAAAATTTTCAATTAAATTGTAGACAAATGATGATGCCAGAAAAAAAATGTCAGCTTTTTGAAAAAATGAGAGCAATTTTGCTATGAAATGTAATTGGTAGTTTGTATTGAGCAGAATTTGAGCCGTGCTAAATAAATAAAGGAAATTTGACAGATAAATTTTGTTTTAAAGAACCCTTACCCCTAATTGTATCTGCAAAGGAAAAAAGTGAGAACAAATGGCTGAATAGGGCAACAACAATAGCATGATTAAGTATAATTGTAGGAGATGGTTGTCTATTGACATTGTTGCACAAAAGAGATGTAGTGGGAAATGAAAGCACTATCCTCAACCATATAATAGGAAGCTCTTGTAGAATTCAAGAGTAAACCTAACGATGATTGATTTCAGCATTTGCCAACACAATTTTGAAAGAAAAATCAAAGGAAGTAGCACAATCAATGTAGCATTAGATGAACTCTCAAAGAATAGAACAAGATACAGTTGATCCTCAATTCGAGAGGAGGATCTATCTCTTCTACTTCTCTAGATGTCTCTAAACCCTAAGCACACAAAAACACAAGAACAAACTCAGCATGAAAACAAGATATCACAACCCTAACCTCTCTCATCTATTTATAGCATAAAAAATAATCTCAATTACTAATTAGCCCCTCTCCAAAATCAGATCATGCCTAAAATTTCCCCCCCTCCCCTTTTGGTCCAATCTTACCAAAATTCCCTCTTCCTCTTTAAGCAATGGGCCCCACCAATTAGTCGTCCCCTCCCCTAATTAGAGCTTGCCAAAAATCAATGTTTCCCTTTAAAACAATGGGCTCCACGACAGGCTGTTGGATGGTTAGGCAAAACAACAGGCCTCTGCCTGCTGTAGACCAAGGGGCTCAATTGGGCCGGCTGGACCGATCCCTCCTGGATTGATCTATCAATACCTTGTTCCCAAAGATCCACATTGTTCCCAAGGTGAAAAACCGAAAATTGATCTTGCATCCTCTCGTAAGGTTCGCATCTAGCATCATAATTAAGAAGGTTCATCCATTTGATCAACACTTCTTTGATCCCTCCTCCCTAGCATACCCCTTACAGCTCTAGTGGCTCTAATATCACTTCCAAATCTTCAGTCAATGTTGCGGACAACTCTTAACTAGCGGTGTGATCCCATATAGCTCTCCTTAGTTGTGACACGTGGAATATCAGATGTATGATAATGGTCGGAGGTAGCTTCAATCGATATGCCACAGCTCCGATCCTTTCTTCTATCTCAAAGGGGCCAAAGTACTGCAGAGCCAACTTCTCATTCCTCCTAATTGCCATGGTCCGTTGCCTGTCAGGGTGAAATTTCAGATACACCCTATATCCCCTTCCTCAAACTAGACTTCCTTCCTGTGCTCATTCGCCTGCCTTTTCATAATTTGTTGGGCTCTCAACATATGTATTTTCAGTTCCTCTAGTGTTCTATTTCTTTCTTCCAAGTACTATACTAAAAAAACTGATGTGTTATTCTGCCCAAAGTGTACCAAGTGAGGTGTATCCTTGTCGTACAACACTTTGAAAGGAGTCATATGGGAAATTGAATGGATGAAGTGCTGTACTAGTATTTCGCCCATGCCAGCCACTTAACCCACAGTCAAGGTATCTTTGAAGCAAAGCATCATAGGTATGGCTCCAAGCTCCTATTGACCACCTATATCCTTCCATCCGTCTGAGGTGGTAAGGGGTTCTCTTTAGTAAGCAGTCCTTGAACTCCCTCCAACTTTGAATTGGGCTGATGTTTCTCCACTAGTACCAGGCCAATGCATTCACTTCTAAACACAGGCCAACTACCATCAATTTCTCTTTCTCCATCAACCCGTTGACAACGAAGTACATCAATACCTTTTAGAACCACCCATGTGCGTCCTTGCCTTCAAAGATGGGCATCTACAGCTTCCTTACCCTCAGATCGCCTCCGTAGCCTCTCATTCCCCGAAAGGGTGGTGCTCCCCAAGTGTCTCGATCTTCCCTTCTGCACTCGTACCCGAACCCTTCTTCAAAATCCCCCCTCCTTTCAAAATCAGTACCCTGACACTCATAATATATCCCTCTTCTTGTAAAATCAGCACCCCGTCACTTGTACCCAATACTCATCTCCTCCCTGAAATAGTCTCTAGCAGAGGCATCCCGTATTCTCTCTCCAGAATATCCACCTCTTGATTCTCTCCTCCCCTAAACGGATTAGGGTTTTCTCCTCTTCCTTGGCCGCCAGTGGGTTTCTTCATTTTTGAGGTCATCATATTGAGTTTGGCTGTTTTTGAGGTTGTCGTTTTGGGTTTTGATTCAAGCAACTTCTTCAGTAGATCTTCAACGACAATGAACTTTTCATCTATCTTTTCATGGACGGATGCAAATTGGTTTTGAAAATCTGAAGTTTTTTTCACAAAATTTGATTTCAATTGGCCTAATTCCCCCTCCAACATTACTTCTTTCCTTCCGGCCTTTGGTTCCCTAGATCGAAGTGTTCTGATACCAATTTGTTAGGTAGTGGATGCATTTTCACAAAAACCAACAAATGAAATACGAAAAATTGCGAAGAAGAACGCCCCATAATAATTTTTATTGAAAGAACTATAAAGAGAAATTCAAGATATCGTTGGATCTTCAATTGGGGAGGAAGATCCGGCTCTCTCAAATCCCTTGCCACCTGCTAGAGCCCAAATAACCTAATAATAAAGTCCCTTCAACAAACTCCCCATAACATATTTAAGCATACAATCCTTAGGTAAATCCAAAAATTGCTTCTTCTATTTGAATTTTCCATCCTAAACCCCCTTAATTTTCTCTTAATTAAACTACATGATCCGCCTCTGGTAATAGAGAACCGGTCCTGTTTGGACCGGTCTATCAATATATTCACTTGTTTAGTTATTTTGGTCAACTGATTGCTTCCATTCAACATAAAATGTTACATAGACGATAGTAGCTGATTATTCTTTAGATGGGAAGGCTTTTCTGATTATTGTTACTAATTTTAAGAATCACATTCATTTTCCTTTGTTAATTTCATACATAACCAAAAATTTTCGTGCATATATTTTGTAAATTCAGTTCAAGTTCACTTATTTACACATCCTAGTTAAGACATTCCAATTCTTGTGTTTTATGAAATATCAAAAAGCATACATTTTCTTATTTTCCTAGTTACAAACTACAGCATTTTCCAGAGACCATTAGCCATTGGTTACCTGATTTGAGTACTGATGAATACTGTGATGATTTGAAGGTTCTCGCATATGCGCAGCAATCAAGAGAGAGGTCCAACTATGAGCATGCAGCCCTTACGGAGAGGAT